GATCAGTCTTTGTGAATGTTACTACACCCATAGCCAATAAAAATGATTCGTATGTTTTCCAAACCGGTAAAAATAGAAGTCCTTTTTTAAAATTAATATATTATTTAAAGGTGGCCGTTAAAATCTAATGACTGTAAAATAAAGTATAAATTACGCCGAGAATTACTGTATATGTCAATATTTTATTTGCATTTAGGCCAATTTGACCAATCTCCTTTAAGTTTAGGTTTAGAGAATCGTACCAGAATCGACACCTATGTGTAGAAAGGTATTATGAGAAGACCAGGTTTTTAGTCTTAAAACTTTTCTGGAGCTCCAATACTTACACGAATCTATCTTCTTCTCTATTAGCCGTACGATCTCTGTTCTCTTTCATACTTATCACGAAAGCATCACTTAAAACTTCTAAAAAAGGAAACCTGAATCTGCCTTAAAGCAGAGCGATTTGCAATCGATTGGAAATTTGCTATCCAGTTTAAATATAAAAACGCCATTACTGATTGTTTAACAAACATTTAAAAAATATGTTTTATAACTTTAAAATTATACCATCGTCTTGCAAGTAAAATTGATATTAAAAACTTATCATGTTTTATAATAATACTAGCTGACCCAGCGAACTTCGTACCGCCCTAAAAAAATAGGGGTTGTCCAGCGGACAAAATTGTGAATCTAAACCATTCTCAGATCCCCTTGAACACACATAAAAAATTTCATCAAAATCGGTCCAGTCGTTTAAGAGAAGTTCAGTGACATACACACTCACAGAAGAATTATATATGTAAAGATAATCCCTGTGTATATATATTATTAGTGGATAACGCTGTTGGATGTATAATGACATCAATATATAACAGCGTTACTACATTACATACAATATTGCACAGTTGTATGTTATCCTAAATAAAAAAAGGCCCAATGTGCCCCAGCAGTGGGGACATTAATAGGCTGATGATGATGATGAAACCTCTGAAAGGCAGCTGTCAATGGCTTATGAATAAGATAAAATTCTGAGCCTAACAAAATTGAAACGTTTTTGTAAAATTGGCTGTTTCTCACCTCTGTGAAGTTAGCCCCCCACTTTTTGAATTTTATTATTATCTAGGTTGTTCTGGGTTGTTCTATGTTTGTTCTACATTGTTCCAAAGTATTATTTGAAAAAACTAAAATTTGAAGCTGCCAGACAAGAAAAACCGTTTTTATGGTAGCCCCCCATGTTTGGAAATTCAATATTTTTTTAGTTGTTCCAAGTTGTTCTAGTTGTTCCGAACATTGTTCCAAAGTATTATTTGAAAATATTCAAATTTGAAGCTGCCAGACAAAAAAAACGTTTTTATGGTAGCCCCCCATGTTTGGAAATTCAATATTTTTTTAGTTGTTCCAAGTTGTTCTAGTTGTTCCGAACATTGTTCCAAAGTATTATTTGAAAAAACTCAAATTTGAAGCTGTCAGACAAGAAAACATTACACTATAGGGTAAACTCCCTAATTGTTGGCACCTTAAGAGTAGGTTCCATGTCAGTCAGACATTAAATTACCATAAAATCACATCTAAATGAGTTAGTACACAACACATGTAACAGTATCAAGGAAATATAGTTCAATCTTTGTTTTCATAATAGTACAGTCAATGAAGGTAAAAATCAGCTATAACCTCCGATTTCGATGAACCTCCATCGATTTTCATGAAAAATGGTGATGAGGTGGGGGATACCATATGAAACAAATGTGACATAGTGCCAACTTGCGCTTTTTGCCTAGGGGTAGATACCACCCCTTCTCGGGGGTAAAAATTATTTTAATAAAAATAACTCCAGGAATCGATAGAAAGACAAACTCTAAGCAAAAGTTGTTATATTAAGTTTTCGAAATAAATCAATACTTTCTGAGTTAATAATGATCAAAGATTGTGATTTTGCGTCAAAAAATTCATGTTTTACGCGGTTTTTCATAAATATTTCAAAAGCTATGAGTTTTAAGAAAAATATATTATTACTAGACGCAACGAATATTCGGTTACTATTCGGTATTCGGCCTCGGCTGCTTTTATTATTTTCGGCCGAATACCGAATACTTAAATAATATATTTTGTCATAGAGAAATAATTGGTAAAATGAAAATTAATATCGATTGATTACGTAGGTATATATTCATATTTTCATTTCTGTTATATATAATCATTAAAGTAGCCATTGGTACATAATCATCTTCTGAATTGGAAAAATGGAGGATTCTATGTATTTGAATTATTGTGGTAATCAAAATTTAAAAGGGTAAGGTTCTCATTTCTTTTATAATCATTTATTAAGTAGTCATTGGTACATAAAACAGGAACATATTTTAATCATTTTCTGTATTAAACAAGTTAAGAATTTTTCTATGCATTTGAATTATTTTCATAATCAAAATTTAGAAGGGGAAGGTTATGGTGCAGAAAGACTAAATTTTCTGCATTTTTAGGAAGTAGTAGAAATTCTTTTTTTCTCGTACACCATCCCAGCTTCAGAGTAAAGGCGCTCTGAATAAACACTACTCCCTGGCGCCGACAAATATTTTGCTGCAATCTTAATCAAACACGGAAATTCAATTTTCCTTGCTGCCACCATGTATATGGGTTGTCATGACGTGATATATTACTAATATTTAAGAAAAGATCCATTTCTGTTGAAACTGCGTTTGACTGAATTGCACTGCAAACAAAGGGGCGCGAAACAATCACGTTTGTACAAGTTTTTGGCGCTAAAATCCAGCCGAATACTTTTGCCTAATATTCAGCTATTCGGTCAGGGGCCTCGCCGAATATTCGGTATACTGCCGAATATACTATACGTTGCAAGTCTAATTATTACCAAAATTGCAGCTAATAAAAAAAACAAACACCTTCTTTGAAAAACCTTCTTATATGAATTCAAAGTGAGCTATAGGTAATTGTATGTATATATTTTTTCGACGAGTACTTAAATCTAAGTTTTCAACCCTAAATAACGGGAAACCGATGCATTTTGATGAATGGTTGGAATTATTTTTCGTTTTTCCTAAAAAAATAAGTGTTATCTTATTTTTATCATAACTTTTTCAATTTTGAAGCTATTAACTTTTTACAGTGCTCATTATAAAGGTATTTCTGAGGAATTTAAAAAGTGCTCCGGAAGTGTATGTCATAAATTCATCAGTTTCCCGTTATTTAGGTTTGAATGCTTAGATTTAAGTACTTGCCGAAAAAAAAATATGTACATACAATTACCTATAGCTCACTTTGAATTGAAATTAGAAGGTTTTTCAAAGTAGGCGTTTGTTTGTTTTTATATTAGCTTCAATTTTGGTACTAATTTTTTTTTTGTAAAACTCATAGTTTTTTAGTTATTTATGAAAAACCGCTTAAAAATGTATTTTTATCACGCAAAATCACAATATTTAATCTTTAATAACTCAGAAAGTATTGATTTATTCCGAAAACTTAATATAACAAATTTTACTTAGAATTTGTCTTTCTATCGATTCCTGGAGTTATTTTTATTAAAATAATTTTCACCCCCGAGAAGGGGTGGTATCTACCCTCAGGGCAAAAGCGCAAGTTGGCACTATGTCACTTTTGTTTCTTATGGTATCCCCCACCTACTTACCAATTTTCATGAAAATCGATGGCGGTTCAACGAAATCGGAGGTTGCAGCTGATTTTTGCCTTCATTGACTATACCATTATGAAAACAAAGATTAAACTACTTTCTTTGATACTGTTACATGTGTAACATGTGTTGTGTACTAACTCATTTAGATGTGATTTTATGGTAATTTGATGTCTGACATACTACCTACTCTTAAAGTGCCAACAATTAGGGAGTTTACCTATATTCTAATGTTTTCTTTTCTATTAATTTAATTCAAAATGATTCAATCAAATTGGAACGATATAGCCCACGGTTGTACTGTTGTTGTACTATCGTCATTGTTTAAATTGATTTTTGATATATTTATTGTCTCTGGTAGGTACGATCGATTTTATTTTATAAATAAAAAAAATTTTTTTTTCTTGCAGCTTCAAATTTTATTTTTTTCAAATAATACTTTGGAACAATGTTAGGAACAACTAGAACAACTTGGAACAACTAAAAAAATAATGAATTTCCAAACATGGGGGGCTACCATAAAAAAGGTTTTTTTTGTCTGGCAGCTTCAAATTTGAATATTTTCAAATAATACTTTGGAACAATGTTAGGAATAACTAGAACAACTTGGAACAACTAACAAAATAATGAATTTCCAAACATGGGGGGCTATCTCAAAAACGGTTTTTTTTGTCTGACAGCTTCAAATTTGAGTTTCTTCAAATAATACTTTGGAACAATGTTCGGAACAACTAGAACAACTTGGAACAACTAAAAAAATATTGAATTTCCAAACATGGGGGGCTACCATAGATAAACGGTTTTTCTTGTCTGGCAGCTTCAAATTTTAGTTTTTTCAAATAATACTTTGGAACAATGTAGAACAAACATAGAACAACCCAGAACAACCTAGATAATAATAAAATTCAAAAAGTGGGGGGCTAACTTCACAGAGGTCTGTTTCTCTCCGCAATCATCCGTGCTGTGTGAGGCAAAGGATGCTACCCCGGAAAATCCGTTGATCTCTAGACCTCTCCTATCATCATCATCATCATCATCATCATCATCAGCCTATTAATGTCCCCATTGCTAGGGCACAGGCCTTCCCTATGGATGGAATAGGGAGATTGGGCCATGACCCGCCACGCGGGTCCAGTGCGGATTGGTGGGTGCTAACGACTGCAGATGCAGCCGGGACCAACGGCTTAACGTGCCTTCCGAAGCACGGAGGAGCTCGAGATAGTAATTTTTGGTCACACATCCAATGACCGACCACTGCGAAAGTTGCTATCGCGCCATCGAGCTCCTCGACCTAGACCTCTCCTATGCTTCATAGAGAAAATTAATACTGTAAATAGTAAATAATTTATATCTTTATAGAATAATTAATACTTACACTAATGCTACAAGATAAGGATGCAATTTGACGTGGCCCTGTCCACCATCTTGTGCGACGCTGACGTCACTTCCGGTCACCATTATCGGGCGTCAATTGCAAGATCCGGCCGTCTGGAAAAGGAGACAGAATCTTACCTATTATTGTTTTTTTTTATGAAAGTAGAGGCTTGGAGGTTCCTTACCTTAGGTAAGTAAGCGATTCTGCCGGGAAGCACATAAAACAACTTTAATAAGCATTTTAAATAACTATTGCTCAGTGGTCACCTATATGGTTTAATTCGAACTTTAATTTATTACTGTTTCAATGTTCTCAATATTATAAAATACGTAAAGATACGTATTAAAATATTAATCTGTTACTTGACGACCTCGTTGGCCGAGCGGTTTGTCACTGGGTTTCAAGATGTCGCCTACTCGAGAGGGTTCGAATCCCGCTGAGGGCAGATGAATACGAGCTTTTGTACTCCAGTCATGGATGTTTAAAATTGATTGGTTGAGTTCACCATCTCGACATTTTGTCGGTTTTAATAAATACCCCGTCCTGTAACCCACAAGAAAAAAGGTGTTATATCCCCAATATGTCTTCTATTATATCTATTATTATTGATGTATTATATCTTTATATATATAATTCTTCTGTGAGTGTGTATGTCACTGAACTTCTCTTAAACGACTGGACCGATTTTGATGAAATTTTTTGTGTGTGTTCAAGGGGATCTGAGAATGGTTTAGATTCACAATTTTGTCCGCTGGACAACCCCTATTTTTTTAGGGCGGTACGAAGTTCGCTGGGTCAGCTAGTCTATATATATAAAAATGAAACCCGTTTTCCGTTGTCACGACATAACATGAAAACGGCTTGACCGATTTGGCTGATTTTTTTTTTTGTAGTTTTCTAATACTCTGTACAAGGTTCTTACGGAAAAAAATATAAAGAAAAATAAAAAAATTGAATAGGTACATAAGATAGGTCAGCTATACAAAATAAAGTAGTGCATCAAAGCTACGCTAAGGCGGTACAAAGTTCGCCGGAAGAAATATGAGAAGCACCTAACTAGTGTGCATCTGTAATATATCGTGTGCGAGTTGCTACTCTACTCCTTCCTCGTCCTCTTTCTCTTATCCGTTGTGTGTTTGATGGCTGTGGTGTGTCCGCTGTATGAGATGTGTTGGGCGTGATTGATAGATGTGGTGTGTTTGTTGCGTGATTTGTATGTGTTGGTCTCGTGTTTTGTGTAAGAAAACAGTATCCCCCAAAACTTTACTGAGTATGATTGATGTGTGTATGGCTGCTTGTTTATGAAGGCTGCTGATGTCAATTCTGCTGTCTAATTTATCTATGAACTTTCTAATGCTTTTAGCGACCATTCCTGTTGCGCCTATTACTATAGGGATGACAGTCGTTTGTGTATTCGACAGACGACTGACTTCAGTTTTTAGAAGGTGGTATTTACTTAACTTCTCAATCTCCCCAGCTCCTATATTGTAGTCGGATGGCACAAATAAAAATACATATATATATATATGTTCAGTATATTATGTATTCTATCCGTTACCCTAGCATCCCATAACACAAGCCTTACAGTGCTTACTTTGGGGCTAGGCTAATTGGTGTGAGTGTTGGAAATATCAAATTTAAGTATTAAAAATTGCAACAGTTAATCTAATCTTAGTGTAATCTTAAGAAATTAATTCGAACTTTTTATTTCTGCTTCCAAAGGGTTAAGTTCTTCATAATTAATTGTGCATGAGGTTCTACAGCTGGACAAACAAAAAAAATACAATTTGTTATGGCTGGATTGGAACCGTTTTATATTTATCCTTTCCAACAATGGGCTGTCATTTTAACTGCTTAATGTTTTAATTCTGGGGGGTAATGGGAGGTTTGATTTGATATTATAGTTTTTCAGGGGGGGGGGGGGGGGGGGGGGGTGCAAATGTCCCGGAATTGATAAGGTAAATATCAATTCTTGTTTTAGTATATATATTTTTGTGTAATTATTATGTTTACTTAGGTTAAAATTTTATTTGTTACAGTAGAACCCGTTTAATACGATCACGCTTAATACGATTTCTCGCATAATACGCCATTTTGCGTCAGTCCCTGCAACTTGAGACATGTTTTCATACATTTCTTAACGGTTAATGCGATTAGCCATCCCGTTTAGTACGCCTAAATTGCCAACACGTACCACACATATTATCTCTTGCGGCAGCATAAATTGCAATGAGAATGTGAATAACTCACAAGAAGAGGTCCTAGGTGATAATTATCAAGAAGATGATGAGTCAACTTCGATTTTGTCACATACCCAGGCATTATCAGCAGTTAATGATTTAAGACGCTATGTAACTTCTTTGAATCAAAGCGCAGACGTACTGCAAAAGTTAAATTATGTTGAAAATCTTGTAATTGCTGATGCCTCAAAATCTTTTTGATAAACAGAATTAAGTGATTAATTTAAATAACGTAATAATAATCATCATCATCATCAGCCTATTAATGTCCCCACTGCTGGGGCACAGGCCTTCCCTACAGATGGCATAGGGAGATTGGGCCATTACCCACCACGCGGGCCCAGTGCGGATTGGTGGGTGCTAACGACTGCAGATGCAGCCGGGACCAACGGCTTAACGTGCCTTCCGAAGCACGGAGGAGTTCGAGATAGTAAATTTTTGGTCACCCATCCAATGACCGACCACTACGAAAGTTGCTTAACTTCAACGATCGCATCCGAACACGCTAACCACTTGCGCCATCGAGCTCGTCAACGTAATAATAATGCTTTAAAATATAAAAATTATAACTATAATTGCTATTTCTTCTTTAAAATGTTTAATACTTATAAAAGTATTCGTTTGACATTGTGGGTATGTGACCTATAATGCGAAGAGATGGCGCTGCCTTGCAGCTTAAGAATGGCTAGAAGAATTTCGACGCGGTCCGTGAGGGCCGCGGTAGCATAATTGGTCAGTTCATTCGCCCGGATTGCGAAGGGTGCGGGTTCGAGTCCCGTCTGCTGCCTGGTCCGCGTGGAATGTTTTCTAGTTATATTTTCTTTAGATTTAAACATCAAGCAGTTACATGCTTTAAAATAATAAAAATTATAACGTAAAATAATAATACACTACATTATTTATGACATACATAATTTTTAAATATTGTACATTTAATACCTCAATACCTACATTAGAAATTTCTCTATCCCGCATAATACGCTTTCCCGCTTAAGACGCGTTTCTGGTACAGTCCCTGCGAAATCGTCTTAAACGGGTTTTACTGTACTTCATTAATAAATCAGCATTTGGCAACCGTAAGTGGAACTCTAATAATAAGAGGAAAATCGTGAAAATAAAGTGGCGGGAAAATCGCCGTGAAAAACAAAATGGCGGGCTACACAGACCAAGGGGATAATAAAAATGGTTCCTACCTTATTATGTCCAGTACAAACACAACTATGTACACAGCGATACAGTTAATATTTAACCGATTTGTCTTACTTTTTATATGTACCGTATTAGTTATCATTCTGTTACATCTTTATCAGTTAAGAGTACAACGATAACAGGATTTGGGTCAAACAAGCCCAAAAGTCACGGGATTAATGCACCCCTGTAAGTAAATAAATATTTCCAACACTCACACCAATGAGGGCTACCATTTTCTGTCTCACCAGATGGCGCCACTGTTGAGTGAGGTCCTAAATTGTAACTTTCAAAGTTTATTAATACGCACATGAAATCAAAGGTTACATTTAGATCGCATTTTAACACAAAAGAACCATATCCTAAACATAATAGGCCATGCCACAGTGACGCGCAGTTCCGTTTTATTCGGAAAAAATGGGAACATAATAATTTTTCTTAGCTCAGATTTTTAATAACTGACATTCATTGCCACATAACTCATATTTGCCATAATTAAGCCGAATTGTTACCAATTATTCACAACATTATTTTAATTAGAAATAAACCCGCGTAGTCAACCAACAAGCAATAAAATTTGACATTTCGTATTTTTTTTGATCTAGAAAGTTACAAAACTTTAATTTTAAAATAGATTTTTCATGGACATACAAAAACGCTGTCGGCCATTTTAGTCTATAGATTATCTATGGTATGACGTCAACAAAATAGTAAACAAACACTAGCAAGCACGTAGGAAATAACTTATCTGAATTTATATTACAAAACCATGATTTCTTATAGATTTCATGATAAATATAGTAATTATCATGATTGTATTATACGAGAATATAGAAACACATCGTTAAAGACTCCAGAAATGTTGTGGTTTTAATTTCCTAGAGAAATACACATACCTACGCAGAACACTCGTTTAAAACTTGCTTAATCCTGTTACTTTATCGTCTGAAAGTCATTTCTTTTATCAAAGATCACTTTGATGTAAGTACTCATTGAAAAATATTGAAAAGTTAAAAAATCCAATTTTTAAGGTTATGAATGTACCTACTAAGTCAAAGAGTTTTGTCGTTTCTGCTTTCACAAATAAGGCGTCCACCATTAATTTAGTCAACAAAACCAATAAACGGAAACTTTTCTTCAGGATTTAAGAGATTTTAGATATATTTTAGTAAGAAGAAAGAAACCACAGTAACACGACAATGACGTTAAGTTGTTTACTAATCTGTTGACGTTACAATCATGGTGGACAGCGTTTTTAGTGTTTAAAAATCATAGAATAGAAAACTATTTTTCTAATTAAATTACTACAGCCATCTTCTAATTTTGTGAAGTGAAATCGATGTATTTAGGTTCCTTATTCCAAAAATTATAAGAAATAAACATTTTAATACAATTTGATATGCGTCAACTAGCCTATTCCTTAAAAAAGGACAGCTTGGAGACAACAATATTACGAAGTAACTATTTAGTAATCTGTTATAATATTGTGAGAATAAGGTATTTGACAGTATTAAAAATAAAGTGCCAATAGTTAGCATCTGTGTTTAGAATGAATAATGGCAGCGGTTTTTAATATTTTTCCAAAAACTAAAACCCACGAAAAAGATAATAGTTTTCTTATCTATTGTCACGTGAGCCAAAACGCTTGGGATTGACGGAGCCTAAAATGACGTCACACGCAAGTA